ACACACACACACACACACACACACACACACACACACACACACACACACACATACACCAGACCCCCTATAGTCGTACAGTGTATTAAGTGAACAGACCAGTCTAGTTCAGCGACCGTCACAGTTCAACGCTCCAGTCTTCTCTGGGAACAAAACTGACTACATAATTGACTGTATATGGGGTCTCCTTCTCCTCCTTATCTCCGACCCTTCCTTCTTTCTGTGTATGTTACTTTCCAGTTTCACCTCTTATCTCTGACACATATCTATATATCATAATTGTGAAAGTTCGTCACTTTGGTCGCCTAAAACTTCCGAACCACTTAACTTTCGAATGTGAAAAAACTAATTGTGTTTCAGAATTATTTAAAAGGTGCACAATGATATTAAGGAGTCCGATGCCACTGTAGTTTAATATTCTGTTTTCCATTAGTTTCGTTTAGATCTAATCTCGTGAAAGTCCGTCTTCTAAGACGCCACTGCAAACAAGTGAGGCTTCCGTTCACAAGCAGTGCGCACTTATCCACAATGACTTGATGATCCGATTCTTTTGTGTCCGTTCATCGAACGGGTACCCAACTAGTATTTTGAGTTGCTAGTGCCGTAAAAGTCGGACTAAAACTTGAACATAAACAACTGAAGTGAGGGAGTGATTTATTCTGTCATTCAATCCATTCACTATCGATTTTAGATAATCAAGGGACTTTTAACGAGTGCAACTTGCACAATGGATCTCCGAGATTTTTCTCCTTTATCCGAGAAGGATAGTGGTTTGATCTTGCCTACCCTTAGATCAGGGGTGTGGCTGAAAGACAGCAGTAAGATGCAGCCAAGGAGTAGCAGGAGAAAGGCTACAGAAAGAGTCAGGAGCCCAGAAGAGGGGTGGGGGTGAAAAAAGTGGAGACAGATTTTAAAGTAGATGATAGAACATTGTTAGAGGGAAGGGAAGGAGGTGAAAGGAGAAAATTTTAAAGAAAAAGTTTTTCTTTCGCTGCCGGGTATCAAACCAGGGACCTATTGAATAAGAGGCAAACACTGCAGCTCTAGACCAAAAGAGCCTCCTAGTAATGCTAGTAATGTGTATTTTTTTTTTATTTGAGGAAGTGTTTTATGGTACTTGCAACACAATTAGGTCATAAAAATGCTGAAGATTAAAGGTGGACTTAACTGTTACAAGAGAGTAATATAAATAAAGAAAAGAGAGAGGAGAGAAACGGACGACAGGCGTTTGGTTAAACATATAGGAGCAAACCACAGCAGAGCACCCACCAACCACCCAGTGTGTAGTGTGTAACGCCGTTCTAGTAGAGGTGGGTAAAATCCGAATAAACTATCGGGATAACCGGATAATTCTCAATGAAACATTATCCGAATTCAAACTCATAACTCTCTTTCCTGACCCGTTTTTTCCGAAGTGGGTGCACCCGTTTGTTGAAGTGGATCTAATTCATTTTCCAAAGCGGTTCATAACACATTATTTGCACTAACAAGGTGCACTAACATATAATCCGGATTTTGCTAAAAGTGGCTCATTGCCCAGCCCTACGTTCTAGCAAACAGCGGAGCTACAGCCATGACATTGTAAAGGGTGCCAGTTCCTTTGTCTGTCACCTGGTCGCCCAAACCTTCTGTGGCCAGGACAATAGACACAATTATAATAGAGGTGAGAGGGAGG